TGGTAATAATTCATAGTAGACTTTGCTCCCTCAGCAAGGCACTGTCATCATTTAGAGGCCACAGGTTGACGCCTTATACGGTAAATACATCTTTCGATATTTATGTTGTCTTGTGTGTTTCTTCTTTCTCTGTTCCTTTCTATGAATGCTAGTCTTTTCTACGACTGCTTAAGTTCGACTGTGGACTCTGCATGAACACCTGACTGGACTTTGAAGTATCAGTACACATGATTTGAGACTACGTCACAGCCTAATGATATGGGGTGACCCATACACTCCCTCTTCTGTCTGAATTACTTTCCACTGTTGTCGTTAAGAGTCGTGGGGGAGGAAACAGCGAAAATATTTAAATGATATTGACGTCTGGTTGAAAAGTCACCTACCTCAAGAGAATGGCAAGTAATGCACCAATGCAAACGGGAAGAAGCATGGACAAAGCTGATTTCTACTCTATAAGGACTAGGTTGGGGGATAAGAGCAAATCGCTGAAGCTAACACGACTACGTGACCGAGAAAGTTAAACTTGGTGAAACACGTCTATCTATGTCATCTTCTAGCTAAAGAAGGGAGATAATATAATCCACTTTTCATGGGAACAATCAGTAGAGATACCTTCGAGTGATTGCTGCATTGGAGGACTGAGCAATGTGACAACATAAAAAAAATGTTATGAAAGGCAAGTCAGTAAGTGTATCGTGGAACTAGCAAGTAAACATAAACATATTGAAATGAAACAGAGCCATCAACTGGCAAACAGAATCACAGAACAAATGCATAGATCATCAAATATTTTCAACACGATCGCAGTCAGATTCACTCATAAGACGAGAGTTCTTGTCGAGGCCCGATATTTCCGAGCGAATGGCAAGACACCAGAAACTGCGACTAGTCGACATCCGTCAATCCGTTGCCGCCTTCAGAATGAAAGTTGGTAGCAGTGAATCTATAGCACGATGTGTTATCACACAAGTGGTAAAAGCTAACCAACTGATATTTTCTACATAGAAATCTTATTTTACTGCTAACTACTATAATACAGAGGCTGAAACTAGATAGCTAGTAGCATGTCCTTTCTATGGGTTTGGCGCCTACATCAAGGTGGATTTTTTTCAGAATTGATTTTCGACCATGGTTTTATAACAATTCGGCATTCGGTTGGTGATGTGGTCAATCTAATGCCGCCTTTACTTCCCAGAACATTACATTTTAAGACTGGATCGACATGGGAGCCAAAGTTATTTTTCAAGAAAACCAGCCTCGATGCGGATTTGAGCGCAACTGCTTCCGACCAGAAGGCGAGTGTCCAGCCATTAGGCTATCGCGGCTTCCGTTGTCAGTCTGGGTTTGTACAAAATAAAACATAAAAGACGTCTTCACTCCTATTTGAATCTGTGACAGTGGATAGGCCCAGAAGCCTACTCGTGCGATAGCGAAATATCTGGATCACCCATTAACAAGGCTATCG